ATGATATAAAATGCTCATAATGTACATACTTCCTATTTACAGTACAATAATTACTCTTTTAAATCAGACACAGACAGACAGACAGATAGATAGACAGACAGACAGAAAGATAGATAGATAGATAGATAGATAGATAGATAGATAGACAGACAGACAGACAGATAGATAGATAGATAGATAGATAGATAGATAGACACGTAGATAGATAGATAGATAGATAGACAGACAGACAGACAGATAGATAGATAGATAGATAGATAGATAGACAGACAGACAGACAGAAAGACAGACAGACAGATAGATAGATAGATAGATAGATAGATAGACAAACAGACAGGTAGATAGATAGATAGATAGATAGATAGATAGACAGACAGACAGACAGAAAGACAGACAGACAGATAGATAGATAGATAGACAGAGAGACAGGTAGATAGATAGACAGACAGACAGACATGATCTGCAACTTTCATATTTGAAATTTGACAGATATACAAAAAAAAAGAACTTAAGAAGGGCCAAATACTTTTTCACAGCACTGTAGATAGATAGATAGATAGATAGATAGATAGATAAGTGGAGGAATGAACGGATGTGGGCGGGTCGTCGTTATAACGTAATCCTGTGTTAAAGCAATGACGCCAGCGAGTGTTGGTGTAGCGTCAGAGTGTCAGAGTGGACCTGTGTGGTGTTTATAGTGTTTCTCTATCGGCGGAGCGGCTCCAGCAGAGAGATGTTACCGCTGTCGATTAAAGACGATGAGTACAAACCGGCGAAATTCAACCTGCTCTTCAAATTATCCGGATGGTTCCGGTAATGCGCGCATTCATCCCTCATTTTTAGTGGCTTTGTTGAATGAAACTGACTGACAGTAGCTAAGTTACGCTAAGCTAAGCTAGTTCACTCACTGCACTGAGTTTAGTCAGGTTAGGGTAGCGGCTGCGTTAGCACGTTAGCTTGAGCTTAAAACATTCATCTATCCGGCTCGGTTAATCCTCTGTGGACTTAAACGAGCAGAGTCTGATAGTAATTAAAGTGATATGTCTATGTTTTTATGCAGTCATAAGTTTGGTGGATATTTGTATCTCAGTGTCTAGGCATGCAGGCTAGCTTAGCTAAGGAGTTAGCTAACCTAGCTAGCTAATGTGCTAGTGGTCAAGCTCGAAGCTACACAAGCGAACTAACTAAACTGGCTAACTTATCATTTTGAAAACTCGGCTTTTAGCGAAATGGCTAACAGAACTGAGTCAACTAAATGAAATGTGTGTATGTTTATTTGTAGTTTTGTTGAGGAAGTGGCCATTAACGATAAAGCTTCCTATTTGCCTGCTTCTTGTTCGAATTTTCCCGTTCCACCTTAAATGCTGCAGTGGTTACAGTCTGGTGCTAGAGGCGCTGGAATGTAACTGCTGCTCCATTTAAGGTGGAACGGAAAAATTCGAATAGGAAGCTGACCTGAGCTTCGTCCATCAACGTTACTACTTGTCTCCCCCGTTTCTTTAGCTCGATCCTCGCCGACAAGACATCACGGAATCTGTTTTTCTTCCTGTGTCTGAACCTGTCGTTTGCCTTTGTGGAGCTGCTGTACGGAATATGGAGTAACAGGTAAGCAGTGGGCTCTGTTAGCCGGAGCTACTGAGGGGAAGCGCTGAGCTCAGGATGTGCCACGTCGCTCTAAGCGTGAATCACTGCTGTTGGGTTTTGCAGCCCGGCTTGCTACATTACTACATCCGTATGGCTCAAGCAAATCCCCTTTCTTTGCTTTCTGTAGTTGATTATAGTTTGTGTATCAATACATCGACAATAAATGATAAGACTGGCAGCCTTTGACATTGCTTGCTAGAGCTGACACCCTCATGAACCTGATAAGCTGATATCAAACTTGCAGTGATTGCACTTTGTTAGGAACTGGAGCAGGGACTTTTTCCTAAACACTTCCAGAAACCTGCCATAGCAGTCTCATTTTGGAGATGAGGTCTCTTTTACAGTTCCATGAAGGGTGTTCAGGTCCTAAAATTATATTTAGTATTATAATGAGAAGTGCCACACAGCCTGTTCTGATAGGCCCAAAATGATATTTTGTGTAATTATAGCTTCGGTGAACCTCTAACAGTGCCCACTTGAGTTTTTGTTTTCGTTGCATGTAATTTTCGTACATTTATTCACAATCAGTTCCACAAACAAAACAGTTTCTTATTTATTTATTTATTTATTTAAAGTTACTTATGTCGCTGTTGTCAGAACTACACCTCGTATCTCCAAAATGGTAACTTTACACAAGAGAAAAAACCTTCTTTACTTTCAGTGTAAGTCCATGGAACAAGATTTTTTTTCCAAGTAATTTTAGGTCGTTTCTTTTGGTCCATTCATCATGAAATATACACACAACGTAAAGGGCAACAGGTATTTTCAAATTATATCGAAAACTGAAAAACAACAAAAATGGAGATACAAGGTTTTCGTCCGTCAGCAGCGATATATTTATAGCTTTTATATTTTTTCATGTATTGTTTTTTTATTATTAAATAGATTTTATTTATTTTCATTATTGTTTATTTATTTATGTATGCATATATGTACGTTTGTATGTATTAAATGTAATTTTTATTTTTAGTTAGTTTATTTAAAATCAGTAGTCTGATGTGGCCAAGATATTTTAAAATTATAAGTGACAAAAAGTCACTTTTTATCCATATGGTTTGATCAATTTTGAGAAATATCTTTTTCAGATTTGTCCCAGGCATGCATGTAGAACATATGAAAATGCAAAATTTCAGATATGGATGATAATTTGTTAACATACATTGTTGTTGCTGTGATTACAGATATAGTGCTGAGAATTAACTGTTCTGTGTTTTGGTTCTCTCGCTCTCTCCTGCTACGCCTCCATCTCAGTTTAGGATTGATATCGGATTCTTTTCACATGTTCTTTGACTGCACCGCACTTTTGGCAGGCCTTGCAGCATCAGTGATTTCACGATGGAGGTCTAATGATTCTTTCTCATACGGGTAAGAACTCAGCGAGAGCACCTTTTATCCATTAAACATTGGTGTAACATTTGATGTGCTCTGTTTTGTTTAACATTTTGTCCTCCACTTATTGTCTAAGAAGCGTTTATTAACTATTTTGGCTACACCCGCACAGCAGGTGATAGTAGCCCAAATCTAATTTACTCACCAAATCCGATTTTTGGGTTTGGCTGTTCACAGTATCCTTTAAATGTGACCTGTATATGACATTAGTCTGAACAGATCAGCTCCTAAACTGACCCCCATGTGCAAAAGAACAATGCTTCAAGTTGCTTCACATGGCTCATCCAGAGGTAAACAATCACGACCACCAACGAACGCCAGCGCCACAGGAGCCATCATAAAGCTTCACTGAATGACAGCTCAGCTCATCACCCAGAATGTGTTTGAGCTCGCCGTAAGAAGGGCATGGTCACTTCTTTGGTTCCTGTCCTTGGATTCTTTAAACTTTGCTTTCAGACTTTTAACTGTTCTTTAATGCTGCGGCCTCGTTCGCCTACGGCTGCGTTCGGCCATTTCTTTCGAAATCTCTTCGAACATGTAGGGTTTTGTATAACTATCTAATAATCTTTTGTACAGAAACATCACACCAAATGTTTATGAGATCTCAGCAGTGCAAAATTATGATGAATGTCAAGTTGGATTGATGGAAAAGCCGCATGAATTCCGATCTGGCTGTTCAGACTGAGTCACATTGTCACGTATCGGATACATATCAGATTTCAGTACCACATATGAAAGCGTCTCAAATCGGAACTGAAAATGTCAGATTCAGTGTGTTTTTGCTGTTCACACTGACACACAGACACACATCTGTGTCACTTATGGAGAAAAAGATTGGCTTTTACCTGCTGTGTGAGAAAAGCCTTTGTTGCAGTAGTGCTATATGAAGAAGTGTTTTTTCATGTGGTGGCCTAGTGGTGGATTTCATAAATTCTTTTGCAAATCTTCCTGATCACATGCTTCTGCTTTGCAGCTATGTCAGAGCAGAAGTGCTCGCAGGCTTTGTGAACGGCCTCTTTCTCATATTCACTGCCTTCTTTATCTTCTCAGAGGGAGTGGAGGTAAGACCAGCTCTCAGTTTCAACAGTTTTCACATCCTGTAACATTAGCTGAGCTTTAATTGGTGACACTCTTTGCTGATGTCTGATTTGTTTGTGTTCTCCTTTTTCCCCCAGAGGGCATTAGAACCTCCTGATGTGCATCATGAGCGCTTGCTGCCTGTGTCTATAGCAGGGCTCCTGGTTAACCTCGTAGGAATCTTTGTGTTCCAGCATGGAGGGCATGGGCACTCTCATGGTGGAGAAGGTAGGGCATCTGTCTCTTGCAGTTGGGTGCTCAGATTTAATTCTTGACAGGTCACAGCACTGCATAGCTTAGGTTTTCTTCACAATTCGCAGTAATGTCTGATCACCCAGTCGTTTCCACATTAAATCTTGTTTCTGTGTGCAATAGTTACATTTCTGAATCGGACTATCACTATAGTGATGCAAAGCAGCTCTAAGTAGGCTTTGACTGTTTGCTTTTTAAAGCAGTTGTGGTGCAGAGTGCTCCTGGCATATGAAGTTTTGAAGCATGTGATTTGAAAAGAACACCATGTATTAAAAATTCAGAACCCCTTTTAAGTAATTACAGAACAACTTGGGTTCTGCTCAGTTTAACCCGTCAAATGTAACATTAAAAGATCCATATTGTGTAAATCTTAATGTTCCTCATTGTTTTCCTCATTGTTTAAATAAAAGTCTTTGATATGGTATATAAACATTGTGAAAGTTTCAAAACATAGTGTTCACTGTCGAATCAGTTGTTCAGTTTAGGTGTAGAAATATGCTACAGAAACTTCCTGTTTTTAATTAATTGTTTTAGTGATCTAACCTATGTACAGGCAGTTCACACACTCTGTGTTACTAGGTTCAATTTCCACTCCTAAAACTTAACACAATGTTTTTGATAACACAGACTTTTAAAAAAAAAATGCAGCTCTTGTGGTTTAAAAATTTCACTCTTTTAAATTGATTTTGATAAAAAAAAAACGATTAATCTTTCAGCCCTATTTACATACATCCACACATTTAGTCTACAGTGGTTTAGCTCCGCCCATAAACACTGAAGTGTAAGGACTGTTTCAGCCCAGTCTACTTTTTGAATGAGGCACAGTAGTGCAGCCAATCAGAACAGAGATAATTTATATGTATTAGACTTAAAGGTACAGTAACAAAAAGAGCCTGTCAATTGTAAGGGGGGTGGCGGTTGCACAGTTCTGGTGGGCTGCTTTGGTTGTATGTATCTTCTTCCTGATATGTAGGCTGGTTGGGTTTATGTCTGTGTAGGTCACGGACACAGCCATTCTCTGTTCAACGGCAGCATAGGCCACGATCACGGTCACGGGGGCCATGGACACAGCCACGCGGCCAAGCATGGACACGGACACGGACACGATCATGGGCATGGGCATGGACACGGACACGATCATGGACATGGACACGGAGGACATGGCCATTCGCACGGGGAACCAGACTGCCATGGTGAGGCTATTTACTGCATTGGCAAAGCTCTTGGAGCAAAAGTGCTGTTCAGGGATTTTTAATGATAATTTAGGTAAAACCTAAAAAAATAAAGCAGGACTGTGACTACGTAGTTGATTAATTAGTTTATTACTATTTCAATTAATTTGGAACTCTGTTTTCTAAAAAAAAAGGCAAAAGAGCTCAAGAGCATCAAGAACACATCAATAGATCTGCATTATTCTTGAAAATGCTATTTTAATCAGTGTGCAAGGTGCCAAAGCAATAAAGTAACTAATTATTTTTCTTCTAATAATCAAGCAAAGCTAAATTCACTGATTTTATTACTGGTCAGTGATACAAAAAAACCTGAAAATACCAACCGCACAGAAACGGCAACTAAGCGGCGCGCGAGGTCAGCACTTTCAAATAGGTTACGTGTTACCTGTCCACACAAAAAAAAAGGAAAACATTTGAAATTGAAAAACATTTTCCAAAAATTTTGTGTTCAGTGACCTAAAACGCTGTTTTTGTGTGGACAGGAGACCAGAGGAAAAAAAATATTTTCAGAATGTGAGTGTAGTAACAGAAAAGCATAATTTAGCCATGCAAAATAGAGCTCTTCTCTATTTCTCTCTTCTCTCTAGCCAGCATAATGTTTCTATTGATGGAAATTAAAAAAGAATTAGCTGAAGCAGACACTGACACGCCATTTTGACTTTCAGCTGTGGTTTAAGTGTTTTACTTACTCATCATGCTGAGCTTCTGCTGTGTATGCAGTGTGTTTTCTGCTCATGTATGGCAGTCGTGCTGTTGTGGACTTCTTGGGTCGTACATTACTCTGCACTGCAGTCTCCACTACCTGTATTTTCTTTAATTAAGCGTTGTAACGTTAGATGGTAAGTGTTAGCATCGTCAAGCCAACTAAACACTAAGATTCGTGACTTACTATTTTTATTATCGATGTTTGCCATGTTAACAACTTAACTGATTTGTTGTTGCAGCACTGAATTAAAACCCCATTGCCAAAGCTGAGAGTGCCCAATTATTGTCCTGGAGATTCATCACCCTGCAGAGTTTAGCTCCAACCCTCATCTAACATACTTGAGAAAGGTGTGTTGGATCTGAACTCTCAAGGATAGGAGATCTCCAGGACTGGGATTTGGTCATCCGTGGCCTAAGCACACTGAGGTCAATCATGAAAACAAGCCCAGGGATGTCATAACTGTCCAGAAAAACAGGTTTCTTCCCCTGTAAAGTGGTAATTTTACAGGGGGAAGCAAACATTCTTTGCTTTTAATGTATGTTAAGGTAGCAAGATTTAGTTTTTGACACGATGTAAAGGACAGCTGCAGTGCGCAAATGATGCAGAAGAATAAAAAGCAAAAAAATGGAAATGTGTTTTTCTTTGGACGGTGATGATATGTTAAAGAAAAGTTTGGTGAAAAATTAAATTTACACAGTGACCACTTACCCCAGGTGTAGCTGATGAACACCAGAAGTCAATAATCATTCATATCTTCTGTGCAAATACATCAGCAAAACTTATCTCTACCTGCTCAAACCACATCCAGGCCTTCATTAAGGTCGCACATACATAGATGTAGATGTGTTTTCAGACAACAGGGTGTGTATTTGCAAACCTCCACAGTAGGACTGCTGATCTAGAATCAGTGTTTGTAACGATGGCCATTATAAATAAATAGGAATCTAATCCAAAATCAGGTCACTAATTTACAAGTGTTTTGTGAACATCATACCTGGTGTTGTCTGAAGTTTTTTTTTCATTTTTATAGTTCACAGTAAGTCATAGCGTGTCCTAAAACTTAGCGACTCGTCTGCGTGACCTTAATGAAGATCTGGAGGTGGTTTGAGTGGATTGAGAGAAGTTTTGGGGATGTATTATTACTGATACCATTTGGGCTATTGTGGAGACTCCAGCTCTAAACTAGGGAACCAAAATTTGGACTCCGAACATGTCTTCCCCAATCATCTACAGTTGGGTTAAGGGAAAAAATGTGTCTGTCACTCACTCGGTTTTGGCTCTGTGTGGTTACAGAATCACTGACTTCTAAATGTTCGATTTGCTCTTTTAATGTATGACTTGCTCAGTGTAATTATTGTCCTTTTTTCTCCCTAGATGACTTCTCTCACACACCAGGCAAAGGCTCGAGCAAACAGATTTTGCAAGGTAAAGCAGTGGATTTATACATCTGACTACCACCAGATGGCGCCACAGTCCTTTAATGGTTTTACTGATGCATTAATGAGTGAACAGGAGTACTATGCACTCTTGTGTTTTTCAGTACATTTGATTGGAAAATATTTTGATATGTAACAGCCATGTCTTAGACAGTCTTTCCTTTTTGATTTGATTTAATCCATTGACGCTCAAATCAAGTCACATGGGGTCAAAAAAAAACCTCACTGGGTGGTTGAATTGAAAAGAACGACTTTAAATAGACGGTATAGATCAGTGATCACGTGACCCCTTCAATAGCTTCGGACACGATTGGTTGATGGACTTTTATTTGTGGCAAGGTGACAGGTCAGGCCGGCCCAACGGCTGACCTTTGACCCGGGGCTAACTGGGTTAATGCTGACATCTGAGCGAGTGCAGGAGCACTGTCACTTTAAAACTCTTTGTGTGAGCCTGTGTGGGAAAAGAGCAGAGAAGAGAAAGTGAGTTTGTCCCCTTCACCCTGGCACACAGAGCTAGAGAATAGGTCCTTTGGGAGGCCGGCTCAGGGGGGACGGAGAGGGCTCTGTGGAGTGGGGGCCGTCCGGAGAGGGAGGGAGGGAGGGAGGAGGTGACAGTGCAAAAGGTTACACTGCCTCCATCCCTGTTTTTGCCTTTGCTGAGGGACCTTTTCTCTGCCCTTGTGATGAATTGAGTCAGTTTTGTCCGCCCCCTTCAAAATCCTCAAATCCTTTCCATGTTCTTTTGTGTCTATCAGTGAGGGGCTTTAGCATTCCTGTTTGTTTTGCTGGTCCTGCTCTCACCGCACTTGGATAGGTTTTCCATTTAATTTGGGGTTCATTCACTTACTGCGGTTGTGCATTCTGGGAAATTGAATGCGACCACAATCATGACGTCTTCAGCTTAGGGGGGCTTATTGGACCATCACGAGTATTCTCCATTACTACACAGTTTGTAAGGTTTATTTGCTATATGTTCACCAGTAGAGATCCAGTGATGTCCCTTTTGGAATTGGATTAATTTATCAGGGGGATGTTTTTTACACGTCTCCTCAGTGATAAAACTCACATTCAGACGGCAATAAAATTTCCACAGGCTGAGTGAGTTTCTAGTGGGTTGTGTTTAAGATGTGTGTCTGTTGTGTTCTATACATCAACAGTTTAACAGTTACAATGTTATAATTTACAGTTTTATATTAATGTGGAAGATTTTAATATTATAATCTTTAAGGAATGGACAGCGATAACAACTAGTCTCTATTTCTAGAGAATTTCCTAAAAGATATTTTTATAATAAAGTAAATGATGTAGGGCGTATATGAATAAAGGAATGTTTTATACCTGTAGCTGCTATTCTAATTGCCCCTTTATTGAGCCTGCGGGATCTCATTGATTCTCATTGATTCTGTCTTTCTCCTCCTGTAGTGTTCTCCCTTGTAGCGTATGGAGGCGAAGTTTGCTCTGGTTTTACCACCCAGACCATTTTTTTCTGTTGTGACTTGGAACGTCTTTAATATCTGGAGAGGGTCTCTGATACATGCGCTAGGAGACCGAATAAAGCAAGTAGCAGCAGAAAAACATGAAGATGTGTATCTGGATGGGATTAAAATGATCAGAGCACTGCCAAGCTTAGTGAAAAGTAGCAGTCATTCTCTGTAGTGTTGAAATGAACATTTAACACTAATTGAATGCAGTGAGATCAGGATCATATAAGTTTTGGCTGATATTTGCTTTAAAAGTTAGCATTAGAAGGCTGTCTAGATTTGACTACTTTGATTTGATGTATTTATTGTACACTGTAAGAGTAGAATGTTTTATCTATAGGTTATTGAACCCTATACAAGTAAATATTACGTTTATATGTTGTGCTAATCTAGGTAGATCTAGTCCCAGTTTCTACACTGTATAAATGTTCATGTATCAGCAAATGTGTACATGAAAAATATTGGCGATTCTCTTATCAGTGCATCCTTTCCACATAGCTGCAGCCTCAGATGGCTAATTTTTTTCAGGGTTTGTTCAAATCTCATGTTGTTTTCAAGATTTTTATATACAAAAATGATATTGTATAATTCTTTTTCCTTGTAAGTAAACTGTATAATTTCCAGCAGCTGTGTTTGATGCCTTGCAGGAGTTTTTCTGCACATTGTTGCTGATACGTTGGGCAGCATTGGCGTCATCATCTCAGCCTTTCTGATGCAGAAGTATGACCTGATGATCGCTGATCCCATCTGCTCCATGCTCATCGCCCTTCTCATTGGAGTCAGGTGGGAACACAAACACACACACACACACACAGGTAACTTGACAGTACGTAAGACTGTCTGTTTTAAATGAACATTTTATTAATTCAGGTCCAAAAGAATCAAGTATAAAATCTACAGCTGTTACACAATTATAATAATCATAATGAATCACATTAGTTTATGAAGATAATTGCAGTCGATTGCATTTGTCTTGGTTAAGGATGCACAGATACCACTTTTTCCCTTCCGATACAGATACCTTATGTATTGGCTGATACTGAGTACCGACACTGATACTAATTCTGTCTAACCTGACTAACTTATAAGTCTGGATATTTATACAGTTCCACTTCTTAAAAATGTTTTATTTTGGTAAAAGCTGTGTTTGGCTACAAATAAACATACCAACTAATACCGTACGAAGAATTTCAACTGCCATATCACTCGCCACCTTTGTCTTCCCTCAAAATACTGCCATTACAGATTTTGTCATAAGCATATTCACTGCAGCTTTGTGATATCATTATTAGTGATAGGCTGTGTTTAAGTGCACCAGTATGGTATTGGTGCAACCTTAGTCTTATTTGCTCTAATTTTACCCAAAAGAAAATAATTAATCATTAAGTGTGCAGAAAACGTTTTGCAGAAAATGCCATATCTAGGTTTGTTCCTCGTAGAGGATGTGCTAATTTTCCTTCACAAAGAAAATCAACAAAACATATAATTTGGCTGGGGGTGTTTAAACTTTTGCATATGACAGTATACACTCAATGCTTCCAACTCCTGGGGGATTGTAATGTCACTTATATACCGCTATGTTATGTCTTGTTTCGAGGGGAACTGGGGCTTTCCTCTTTGCAGTTGCTTTTGTTAGTTTACTGATATTACAGGGATCAACTGTGCAGTTTGGTGGTAAATGATGCTTCAGACTCCATGTACTTTAACTGATTTTATCAAGAGAGCTGTCAGTTGAACTTGCCAATTAAAAGCTGTTATTAAACGAGAGGGCTACAGTCACAGGGTCATAGTAAAAGCAGATGGACTTCAGGCTGGAGCAGTGGATGGGTTGAAGGCTCAAACTAGGAAAATATGTTAACAGTGTTTTAAAAAAAACAGATGCATTAATTTTGACACCACTAATAAAATGTAACATGCTCTACTTTTGCCCTTACACAGTGACAGTATTCCCTGAACAATGCAGCCTAGATTAAACCACCTAAATCACTTCTGCACATTTTTAAATATAAGATTCACTTTCATGTTTTTATATTTTTTGGTCAGAGCGAGTTAATTCAGCTTGCTCAAAATTAATACCACTGTTCAAATATTAATTCAGATGTTAAGACTTCAGATTAATTTATCTTCTACTTCCATAGACGTATATTTTTTAATGTTCTGCGCTCGGTTATTCTAAGTCTGTTTAGCACGTCTGCTGAAGTTAGACCTCCTCCCTCGGCTCCACCCAAAACCCACAGCAGCACCTAATGGATAGCAGACTGAAGCCACTTCACAGTGACCATCTTCTCCAACTTCTACCCCAAGCAGCTGAATTACAGGACACACACGTGTGTACACACACACACACACACACACACACACACACACACACACACACACACACACACACATAAAGGGTGGAGTCCAGAGCGCTCTCACATGTGGTGAAACCAACAGAACAGGAGTCCGCTCCTTCATGTGTCTTCTAACAGTTGGTACAGACAGAAGCCAGATGCAGAAGCCTGCATCTGCTGTGCTTTTGTGTCTCTCTCCATTTCTTTAATCTCATAAAAATTTTAATTACTGATGCCTGTATTTGGTTTGAATGTCTTGGGGTGTAAATCTCTGACCCCAGGATGATTTGGTTTCTGTTCCTTAGGAAACAATTCAATGCATCATAAACTCTCATCACCATCAGTTTTAATTCGTAATAAAGATGCACCAAAATGAAAATCCTTGGCTGAGACTGAAATTCAAGACACTTGGGCCAAAAAGCAAAACAGAAAAGTTAAAATGACTGACAATAAATAAAAAACGGTTTACATTACATATACTTAAAGTGGCACTATGTAAGTTTTTTTTTTTTTTAAATTGACAGAAGTAGCATCATTAAAAAACTAAATACGGTGTTCATGCGCTGCTGCGAGTCACCCTATAAAGCCTGAAATAATAATGTAAAAGTCAGAGGCGTCGGGTCAGATATCAGAGGTTTTTGGACCGTGTCACGTCTTTATGTACTGTCATATGCACTGACTCAAAAAGAAGGTCCTGCAAGGTATTTAGGTTTCAAATGCAAAATCAACTTTGTAATAATAAAGATATGATGACAGTAGTACATAATTCATTCACATCCTTTGAAGACACGTCCTTCACCAGGTTTTGACTGAGTTCTCTTTGAATACTCTTTCAACGCACTGGCAATCATCAGATTCATCTGCTTGGGGAAGGGGTGTGAAGCTCAACCCATGTTACAAAATGTTTTTCCACACGTTGTGTGCAGTTACACATGTCCAGCAAAGAGGTCTCCAAATCCCCAAAACTTACATAGTGCAGCTTTAATAAATTAAATACATGTAGACTACAGAATGTGCCATTTTTTTTTTTTTTACCATTTTCAGACAAATTTTGGTGCTAATTTTAATTCACTGAATACACAAATGTTACAAAAATGATTTATTTACAGTGGTGGAATATACATGGTCAGGGGTCGGTTATATGGCAAAATTACAATATCACCATACGTAAATGAAGAAATTTACATCATATATGATACGTATCATAATATTTAGTTTTTTTCTGAGGTTTGATACGTTGGAACAGACAGAATGCACCAGCAATGTTTTGTTAAAAAATATCTAAACTACAAATAGTAGCATTAGTACTGACAATATCCACATGTTGTGATGTAATTTATTATGATACTATAAACTGTTGTCATATTACCCACCCATACACCAAGCTTTATTTCATTTTTCTTTATTTCAAATATCTGTTAAATTTTATTTTAGCCCAAAACAAACGTGGAAAATGAACCAGTATAACATTCCAAAATAGATTTAGTTAAATTGCCACAGCCTTCATATTTTTACACCTTAATGAGGATGTTTGCTGTTTATTGTGCAGTTTTGTTAAATTCTACCACTTGGAACAAATTAGAGAACCACTGAAAGTCTTGTATAAGTGAATGGAGCTGTATTTCTGTCTCTGCTCACTGCTCACATAAGATTGTGTGGTTTCAATGCTTCAGTGAGTGAAAGAGTACAGTTGTGATGGAGAGGGAGAAAGAGGGGCCTCATTCTACGAGTGCATGATTCTCAGCAAACGGTTCAGCTCTCCTCTCTCTCTCGTTCTCTGTTCAGGGCTTTTCTTCTCCTCTCTCTGGAATGTGGTTGTGATCTGTGACTATTACGTTAAAAATGCGGGAACAAAGGCATCTTTTTAAGATGGACTTTCCCTCCACCCTCTTTTATCTGAAAGAGAGGAGGGGGTCTGTGTAATTGAGACCCGGCTTCATTTTCTTTCCCCCCGTTCGCTGCCTGAATTCCCCCCAGTAGCGATTTGGTAAATGCAAAGAAATTAACAGTATGGTAGTATGACAATAAGCACAAAGCCTCCTGCCTGGCCTGCTGTTTCTACCATACACAGTGAACAAGAGGGAGATATTTCAGTACAGGTGCAGCATGAAGAGGGAGACTGGAGCACTGAAAAGGTCTTCTACCTTAGTCTAGCTTACAAAGCTATTATACAACTAGAGAAGGCATTTAAAACATAGCTAAACAACGTTGCAAATGTAATGTAAAGGTATTAAAATGAGAATGTTAAACTGCTGAATGCATTTACAGTTGAAGGGAATGAAAAAGCTTCTTTTTTTGATTCATCTAGCTTCACCCTGATTGCTTGAACAGAGAGGTATTGAGAGGATAGTAAGTTTTCAAGGGACTGTCAGTAGTTACAAAATGCTAATAGGATATGTAATACGTAGTATATATAATATGTAGTGTAGTGTGCACAGGTGTAGTTTCCACTGGGATCTAGCTAAGGTAAATTTAGAGCTAAACTGGGTAGATCTACTCGTACTCCACATCTGATAATCCAGATTATTGATTATAATATGAGTTAATAAAATTATCAAAACATGACAGTGATAAAAATCCAAGAGATGTAGAGAACATATACAGATTTCTAACTGATTCTTTATCAGTTAAATAGTGAAATGTGGTGACTAGATAATGTTAGCTACCCTAAATGGAATTACCAACTCAATTTTTGAGAATTTAATGTTATTTGTCATGCTATATAATATTCCGTAGAGTTGTATTGCATCCCTCAGCTTCATTGGTTTGACAGAATTCATGATTTTGTATCCTTTTGCGTTTTGTCTATCAGTGTGCCCTCACTGCAATATCCAGCATGCATTATGCAAATACGTCATACAACAATTGAAAATCCTCCTGACGGTGATAAAGAAATCTGAACTGTTGGCAAAGTAGCCATACAGATAAATACAGATGTGATATTCGGTTTCCTGACATTAAAAAATAATACATTTCGGAAAGCCTGGCTTCAAGTATTTACCCCAAGCATTCCACCCACCTTCAAGACACATCTTCAGAAGTGGGGTGTCTTAGTCTTTTAAACTGGAATACCTCACTTTTGATACTGTTGTGGCTTCGCTGTAGGGTGCTAGTAGGGATGTTTACAACAGATGTAGTGATGGTAAAACGTTTCATTTTAGCAGAAAGCCCTTTTAATATTAGTTGTTAGCTGTTGCCAGACAGAACGTGGGTCTTGTTGCCTCATGTCTTATAGCTGATATTAGCAAATGTACATGTAATCTGTAAACAAGTGTACAAATACATAAAATAGGTATTTTTGGGTGTATATTGTGCGGTTGAGGGGGAGGGGTTAAGGGTAGAGTAACAGTGTGGCCTTCCCACTTCTGACACCAACACTACACATTTGATACTGTGTAGATGGTATAGTGTATTGTGTATAGTATAGTGTATGTAGTACCTTTTTATATA